TTATTAGTATTTAATATTGCCATGTCATTAAAAAATTGAGCATTTTCTGATCCTATCGCTGAATCGGCACCTCCACCAAAAACATAAATATTTCCAAAATAATCAGCAACAACTTGAAAGTCTCTAAGTCTTTCTGGTACTTTTCCTTTCATTACAGGTATATTCCATTGTCCTGATTTAAATTAAAAGCATATACCAGAGAAGTAAATGAATCTTGATTATTTTGATTTTTGCATATTTCCTTCAATCAGGTAAATAGTCGGGTAATTATTATTAGTTATTGCGGTAGCTGCAAAACTACTTTTAAATCCTAATCCTGAATTTAACGTTAAGTCGGTCCATAGCGGATTCTCTACGTTAAATTGTTGCGATAAATCAAGATAAAAAACTCCATTGGTACTAGAAACATCAGTAACCCCGCCAAAAAAATAAAGTTTATTTTCAACAAGGAACAGAGGAATGAGAATTACGTCCTAAAGGAGTAAATGACTCGACTCTAAGTAACAAATAGCTTAATATGAAGAAAAGCAACTTAAATTTCTTGCAGATCATATTAACTAAAGAAATTTTAAGTACGGTTATTTAAAAAAAAGTTATTTAAACAATCCTCAATTCGCGTATTACGTCGATCATTTTGTCTTTTGATAATTAAATTCATATACAAATCCAAGTGTGTTATCGAAATGACATTTTCATTTGTGAGGACATACAGACATTGCATGATCATTCAATTAATCTGACTTGTTCTCCATTACGTTTTGGACAATAAATCTAAATCATTTGATACAATGAATCTCAAGTACAATATTAGAGGTAATATTTCTTAGGGGTGATATATTAATGCGAATGAAAAAAATAAATATTATCACAAACATCCGCGATAATTCATTTTATATAAATCTGTGTACCTTAACTCCAAAAAATAACTCATGTAAATGTAAATTATCCTTGATAGTACCTGTATGCTAGAATGATAAATTGAACCATTTGAACCCAATATCCATCCACTATGTTGACCACCTGAAAATTTTCGTAATCAAAATTTTCTGTCGCACACACTCCAACTCAAGAGTGTGTATTATGTTTCTCAATAATGACGTCCCATTCAAAATTACCTTGATTTTCAAATGCCGTCTTAGCTCTAACACTTTGGTGACTAGTGCAAGCAACTGATGTTCGTACATCATCCCAAATAAAGTCAGTTTTGTTAGATACTGGTAAATGTCCACGAATTTCATTCAAATATGACATTGCCCGATGTCGATAAACATTTAAAATCATTTCAACTGGAACAATGTTTAATGGCTCAATGATATTAGCTAATGTTTGGCTTTTAATTCTCTTGAAGTCAATAAATATGATCAAAAGTATAAATTCTTTAGTAACTTTTTGATTATCCGGGATAAGCTCATTATCAGTTTGCTTAAAATTATCTATGAATTCTAAAGTTGGTAACCGGTTTAAAAGGGATATTGTTGCATCGTTAGAAATCTCTTTTGCAACTAAAATAACACTATATCGAAACACTTCATATTCTGGAGTTATAAAGGGTTTGTCCTTTTCATAAGTGCAAGATAAAAGGACCCAAATTGCTGTACTAGATAACCGGTCAAATTCAATGGTATTTAACGAAATAATTGAAACTGCTTCAACTTATAGATTTCTAAACATATTATCTTCTTTCAATGACATTGTATCAAGAATTACAGATAACAATTCCGGGGAATAATTATCATTGCAATTCTTTTCTAAGGTATTTTTAACAGTCTTCATAATAAATCCCTGAAGGTCTGGTAATTGAAAGTAGTCTGCAGCAATAAAAGCTTCAACGATATTTTCTTTGGTTAAAGATTCCTCTTTAACTACTCCTGTGTAAACATATTCCATTATAATTTCCATTCCTGAAGAATTAATCTTTGAGAAAGAAATTCGTTTCTCATAACTTTTCCCTACTCTACTATAAAGTAATCTGTCAAATACTTCGGATCTTGCAGCTAAAATCGCTCTACAACCATGTAATTTCTTTTCATCCTTGCATACGATCTCTATATCACTATATTTTGGGTTATTGATTAATAATCTAAAATCTTGTTCTAATGAATACCCTCTCGTCATTTTAGCAATCTTTTTTTTTAAAGAGTTTGATTTATAATATATTTCGCGGGAAATAAGTTATATAGAGATCATTAACATTAAAGTTCAAATTAAAAAAAATTCTATCTATAAATAGTAATTTAAATCGGAGTTTAAAATCCCTTTCAAATTACAATATTCTACATATACTCGCTTGATCTTCTAATCAATCCGTTAATTAGGTAAATCACATATAATATATGGTTTTTGGGAGCTTAGAGATAATTGCATCAAAAGTTCCTATAAAGTGGTATTCAGAAATAATTAAAAATGATCGACACGTGTCAATACTAATAATTACGTAACCTGTATATATATTGACGTTTAAATTTATAAATTTCACTAATTTAATAAATTTATCGGTTGATTTTTAACGGGAATAATGTCATAAAAGAAAATTTGCGATGCATTATATTTTGGTTTATCAATATTAAAATTAACGAAGAAAATTTCGTATTTGTTTTTAAATTTTTTATTATTTAGACACAAAACATGAATAATTTATTCGAAATGTTTTAATTCTACATTTAGTGCTACCTCTATATGGAATGATTCCTGAGGAATCATAAATCTTTACAAATGATTCTAAAATAATAAAATGAAAGTTTAAATGAAAAACCATAATATAAACCATTTCAGCTAATAATTAAATAGTCACTTTACCTGAAAAAATAGCGCAGTTTAAATTATATTTGTAAAGGTTCATCTTATATATTATATTAATTCCAATCTTTCAACACGCATTGATCCGCTGTTCTATCATAATGACGAAAGAAGCATTAGCGATATCCCAGGTTGGTGAGACAAATAACCGTAAAAATTGATCTTAAAATAATTGCAATGCGATAATTGATTGATAAATTTTAAAAGAATCATTAACGACGTACCTTATGGAATTTCTGGTTGCAGTTCGACATCAATGATGAGTTCCACTAACGACTTTTTATTAGCAAGGGCTAATCTTACAAGTGCAAGGCCGAAAGAAATTGTTAACTTTATAATTATTCATACTCTTTTCTCGTTTTGTTTACTTAATTAACCCATGCGATAGCATATGATATCTTTAAATAAGGATTGGAATTATTTCTACCAAAATCGAATTTAACGAAAATCGAATTAAAAAATCGTATCAATTTTTAGTGGCACTATAAATGCGTTAGGAAGTCTTGATGCGTATTTAACATCCACCATCACCCTGGTGTCATCTCGAAGCGATTAAACCCATAAAAAAAAATACAAGTTAAGATAATTAAAGAAATAGCCTTATCTACTTCCAGAATCAAATTAAAACGAAAGAAGTATCTAAAAAAAAAAAGTTCTTTCAAGCTAAAGGGCGGATAGATGAAAATGTTCGATCGCAGCGTGCTTGAAGAAAATATACTTATCCGAAAATAAAGAGAAAAAAGAAATATCGCGGGCTGAAGCAAAAGTAGAAAATAATACCATTAATGAAAAATCTACTATAAATCAATCGATGGACACAATGGAAATAATCGAACCCGAAAGAGGAGACATTATAAAAAAAAAAATCGAAACAATGAGAAAACACTTGCCTATGTTAATTAATCATTCGAACCCCAAAAAAGAATGAATAATAAGAAACCAATTGAATTACCTTTATCTTCCAAAAAATAAAAAAAAAAATTAAATATAAAATAAAAAAACCAAAATTTAGAGTAAAAGAAATATCGAATCGTTATTGCTGAAAATTGGTTGGTATTCAAAAAAATTGCTACGCCACGCCATAAATCTTATGTCGAGTTTTTAAAATACTGTAGTAATGTCAAATTCTTTTGAAACCAGGACATTTTGGCAGGAGCGTTCCAAAGAATCCATTTTTTTTTTTTTGTTAAATAAATAGATGTCGATATGACTATTGTTTTATTATAAAATATTCCATAAAGTTCGATTGTTAGAGTAATAGATGTTGCCGATATGACACGTAATGGTTTATTCTAAAAAGTTAAGTTCGATTAATTAAAAAGATCCCCATGAGAAATTTTAAAACCTTTTCTCTCTTTACTTTCACTCAAATTAATAAAAAAGCATTTTAAATAGAAAAAGAAAAAAGATAAAGGTTTAGAAGCTTCTAAAGTATATTTCGTTTTTTGAGCGAATAAGGAAAGAGTGAAATGGTTTGTTTTTTTAACATTATGGATTATTATTTTACAAAAATTATTTTCCAGTTGTTTTAAAAAAAAACAATTGTAATTCTCCCTCCCTTCCCTTCCCTTCCTTCCTTCCTCCCTCCTCTTCCACCAGCAGATGATCCTGATGCTGTTCCAGCTCTTTAAGCTGCGCAACGAAGAAAAACCACCATGCGTGTCGAACTACTTCCCGTCAAAATGCTGGTGATGTAATGACAATGAGACAATTACGAGAAGAGCACGTTAATTTGCTCAACGAGATGAGGAACTTCGTTAAGTGATAAATATTCTCGTAATTGTTGTGGTGGTCTGCATCCAAATATAAAACGTATATAACGTATGTTTAAAGATTATAATTGTAATTTATTTTTAATTAAACTTTAAATTTTTTATCACAGTTAATTTTTAAATCTCTAAATGGAGCATTCTACATTTAACACGAAAATGTCTATCAACATCATAACTAGTGCTCCGTAAGGGTCGGGTCGAGTCGAGTTTAAGGCATATTCGAACTCGAACCCGTTAATAATTACAGAACCGATTCGACTTGAACATGATCATTGTTCGACTCGGATTCGACTAGCCGTAAAAAAAAATTTCAAACAACTCATTTCTATTTGTTAACCATAACAAATACAACAAACAATTTCAAAAAAAGAAAGGAACTAGAAGACAAAACTCCCGATAGATTGGATGCTGTAGGCGTCAAAAATAATAAAAATGGGTGAGTATCTCACTTAACTATTTGTCGAGTCGTTATGTGCTGCCACTTTGTGTAAAATAGGGAATCGAAAGCTCTTTGTGGCCACAGTTTTGACCGTGACTTTATTCCCTATTTCTGATGTTCTTCACATCATTCCTAAAAGGATTTCGATGCACGTACAGTAATTAAGAATGAAAGCACTTCGTGGTCTCAGTTGCAAACGACTCTGAACGTTCTTCTAATTCTCAATGATAATGGTGCACGTACTCATTTTTTTTCATGTTATTATTTTTTAGTGGGCCTGAAGAGGCTGCAAGTCACGAATTTGCAATCCAATGCAAGAATTGGGCCAATAAAATAGGTATTATATCGAAATTACATGTATTATTAAAAAAATAAAATGCAATTAGGTCGTAACGTTGTAGATGAGCTTGCAGGGATGCTCTCCAAACGTGAAAACTGTGGTAAAATTAGTATTGTGGTGGCGCCCTCTGGATATACATCTGAAGCAAAGAAAGCCGGACGGGAGCAAGGCATAATCTTGACAAACGTAAAAGATTTATACAATTATCTTTTTGATAAAATTGCCAAAAAACAAAAAGCAGAATTTAAAAAAATGTAGTTGAATTTCTTTTTTATTTCTTGTATTATTACTTATTATTTAATCCTGTAATTCCTTACTATTTTAAATTATTTTCTTCTCTTGTATTTTATTTTGTTTTTCTATTTTATCTTATTTTCGACAGGTCTGATTCTGAATAAATATTTACTTCCTATTCGTTTTAAATTGTTGATTTTTTATAGTCTGATTTCATTACTTATCGTTAGAGTTTAATTCAATGATAAGAACTTAATATCAATCATATCCTGAATTTGATAATTAATGTACTTTTACCCAAATTTTTTTTAACAAGAACTTAATTATGAAAAATAGATATAATCCTCCTTATTTATTCTAGATCATATCCGCTTGAACAGTATAGCGTGCGTAATTCCAGTAATCACAATGATTTCAA